CTGGAACTGATTATTGGTAGGCTGGTGAGTGTTTCTGATGATCCACTGGGTCATTACACAGCTGCTTATGAAATCTGCTTAACTACGGGGAGGAACATTGGACTTCACACACCATCCCCTCAAAGAGCCATTGTAGTTCATCAGTGTTACTTGGTAAATTGACTGGATAGGACATTTCTATTCTATCTGAGCACTCAAAGTACTTTGCACAACTTGCCTCATTCACCCATCCACGCAAGCACACATTCACACATTCATACTGTGATGGTTGCATTGTAGAACAACTTGGGGTTAATACATTGCCCAATGATATTTGGGATGCTAAAATTTTTTTAAAAAATGTTTGCGTGCAAACAGTGATCAAACCACTAACCTTATAATTAGTAGGTGACCTGCTCTACCACCTGAGCTACAGCCACTACAGCTGTGTCGACTGAACAGTACACTTCACAGGATCTGGGTTAAATTTAGACTCAGCTATTTAAAACCTGAAATTTCTTCTTTTCCAGAGACTCAGTTTTTGATTGACAGTGTGTTTTGATGATTCATTGTCTTGTTGAAACAGAAATGGTCTGTTATGCTTCAGGTCCAGGACTGTAAAATTTCCTTATACAATTTGAATTCACTGTTCTCTCAGTGATTGAAAGCCACGATATTCTCTCCACAAACGCACAGCTATATATTTTGTAAATATGTTGTGCTATATGTTTGTAAACTGGATCTTTTGCAGAAGTCTTTGGCATTTCCTTTTTCCACTCGAAAGAAAGAAAGAAAGAAAGAAAGAAAGAAAGAAAGAAAGAAAGAAAGAAAGAAAGCCTAAGCAGCTTATCACAAAATTAACCAATAACATGGGACCTGCATTAATTGATAGCCCAGATTTGTGGTGAAAGTTCTCATCAAATTTATGTGTGATTAATTTTTCTGGTTATGTCATGATCCTGAGTCCGTGACTCAGTGATTTTTTTTGGTGTATTTATTGTTATTATTTTCATTATTATGTGTGGGCTGTTTTGGGATGGTTTGTTTTGGGATTTTAGATACTGGGTTTCTGGGTTTGTGCTCCCTCTGTTGGTCCCTGGTGTTAGTGTTCCCCTGTCTCGTCAGGTTAATCAGGTCCAGCTGTGTCTCCCACCTGTGTGTGATTTCCCAGTGTCCCTCTGTGTATTTATAGTGTGTGTTTGCCTCTGTTCCTTGTCGCATTGTCTGTGTTCATCCTCTGTGTTACCCTGCGTACTCTGTATTACTCTGTATTACTCTGTGAATCCCCTGCGAATCCCCTGCGATTCCCCTGCGTGCTCTCCCTGTTGTCCTCCCTTCATGTTCAGGTTTGCTACTCTTTGGTTTAGTTTCTCCCAGTTTAGTTCATCCTTAGTTCTGTTTTGCCATCCCCACTTTATGTTTGGTATTCTTAATAAATCACCCTCACATCTGAATAAGTGCTGCATTTGAGTCCTCCTTCCACACATCACACGGCTGCTGCCCCAGTCGTGACAGGTTATGCTGACATGTTCCTGGCAAGTTGCAAAATAAGCCAGTAATCAAATCATGTAAATTCAGGTTTACAACAAGCCACGCAAAGCTTTTCATCAAGCAGCTATATAAATTTGGTTATTCGCTGTATAATGTGGTTATCGTGTGCATCCATGCACGTAATGATTAACAGCTGTGTGCTATACTGAAGATCCGGGTTTTAATTTTCAGGAAAATCTCTCATGGCAACTGAAATAACAGGAACTGTTTGAACCTGTGCTTCTGCTCAGAAAACTCTAAAAGATCTGGAGACTTTTTTTTTGTATTTTTCCTATATTATTGTTGCAATGCATGTGGCAATCCCACTAAAACAAACAAAAAATATTTGCAGTACCAACTAACAGATGTCATGTTTTGTGTCCATCTTACCAAAGGTCCCTGCGGCCAAATATTGCACTAACACCCTGTTTGAGTTCATGCCGGGCTCACATGATCCATATTCATAAAGACACAGCCTTCATTTACACAAAACTTAAAGGCAGGAAGTTTTCTCCCGTCTTGTTGTAGTAGGCATAGTATTTTTTTGGTGTTTTAGTGTTTTAAGGCTGCAAAAAGTTGTCTGTATTGATTTAATGCTGCTTATTACAAAGTAGTGGGTGAAGGCACATTTAGGGACTCAAAGTGAAATGTTAGTCAGGCAACAGTTGGGAGAGTTTAGTGGGGTACAGCTACACAGCAGCCTGATCCCAGGAGAGCTTCTATCCCATTTTTTTCTTTAAGGATTATCCTCAGAAACATGAGGCTCATTCTGATGCGATGGCCATCAGTTTTTAATTTTTTATCTGTGTTCGTGTTTTTCCTGATTAGAAAAAAAAATCAAAAAACGATTAAAGGTGCCGTAGCAGCATCAGAGTCTTAATTACAGTTGAGAATAAGGCACGGTCTTCCATAAAAAAGTTTAAACAATAGCTTTAGCATACTGACTTATCTGAAAGTGCCTAAAGCATAATTTGTTGGATTCCATTTGCCCACGTGTAGAGTCAAGACCATCCCTTTTATTATTATATTGCCACCTGGACTGAAATTATGTCACCAGCTAAGATTTATATGTTTATGATGACCAGCTGGGAAAACTCTATTGTCATGACACTGGCTATTAATGTCTGTGTGTAATATAGATCATCTTTTGAAGGGAAGATAAAATACTCTACTTATTTATTCACTATAACCCACATGGGTAGTTTGAACATTATTTGTGTAAAACATTACACTTAAAGAAGTTTAACATGTTTAATTGGTTTTTTTGTTTTGTAGGTTTTACTTGTTGGCCGCCTCATAGCTTGTTCTTGTGAATGTCTACATGGGAACCAAAAGTGTGAATAGTATGGTAAATGGCCTGTATTTGTATAGCGCTTTTCTGGTCCCTAAGGACCCCAAAGCGCTTTACACAATCAGTCACCCACCCGTTCACACACATATTCACACACTGATGATGGCAAGCTACATTGTGGCCACAGCTGCCCTGGGGCACACTGACAGAGGCGAGGCTGCCGAACACTGGCGCCACCGGGCCCTCTGACAACCACTACTGATGGTCAGAGGGCCCGGTGGCGTATAGTATAGCAAGTTGACAGAAAATATTACTTTTGACACTTATCTGGTGTGCATGCTAATGGGTAGGAGAACCAATTTATACCTTAAGTGAACATTTTGACTGCACATTGATATCAGTAAGTTATATTATCAGATAAGTTGTGTGTTTTGTTTATTATTTTAATGGTATGGCTTGGGGGTTAATTACCAGTATAGTCTATGAAAGACTGCCAGTTAACATCAGAGGCTGTTACTGGAACCATGTCCCACCACTCGGCTACATTGTTTTAGTTTGTGTTTGTCAGTGCTGGTGGTGAAACCTGGTTGGCTTGTACCTCATCTCTGCCCCAAGCCTTTAACTGAAAATTTCTTATGGTGAGCATTGGATAAGGACTATAATAAATTTGTTTTGACTCTAAATGTGGCTAAAAAGGAGACCTTTCATATACTAGATGGTGATATGACCTTTAAAAGTATACCCAAAATGCACTCATTGCTTTCAATGCACTTAATCTGAGGGAGTTCCTGCTATTAAAATGATGACAAATCCCATGCAGATGCATGGTGCTGAACAATGGTGACAGAAAACATCATGCTGACCAGAAATTAGATTTAGGCTTTAGACTGTGACTATGTTAATGGGTGTCAAATTGATTTGGTTGTTGTCATTTCAATCCAAATCAATTCAGTTTTATTTATATAGCACTAAATCTCAACAACAGTCATCTTAAGATGTTTTCTACTGTAAGATAAAGACCCAACAGCAGAGTTAACAGAGTTTAAATTAGTTTTTGAGCCCTGAAATGTTCTCCTATGCCTAACCTGTATCCTTCAACACAACCTGAACTCTCTTAGGCAAGCGTTCCTGAAATGTCCTTAAGCAGTTTTCGGTAATAGTGCTCCAGTTTTGTTGAAGGACGTTCAAAGCTCTTCTTTGTGCTGCCAGTGTGTTTGGGATCACTGACATTCTGACTCATTCACTTGGATACTTTCCAGATTTTAGGATTATTGTGTAGTGAATCAAAATCTGATTGTACTTTTCTGTGTTCATAATAAAAGGATAAGCGGAAGTGAATGGATGGATGGTGTTCATGTCATCAGTTTTGACAAGATCCCAACACCACTGGCTGAAATGCAACCCTAAACCATGACAGAGCCTCCACCATGTTTTACAGATGGCTGTGGACACCCACTTTTGTAACTCTAAAAGTCATCATACCTCAGCCTTTTTTTTTCTTGTTTCATTATTTCTCTTGACTTAATGACAGAAACCTTTACAGTGAGAACATTTCTGAGTCTTGGGTCTCAGTCACTGATTTTTATTCCTTTTTCTACAGGACATGACTCTCAGATACTGCTTATCTGCTCTAGATGCGGTTTTAAGCCTGACACTTCTTCTTTTGCCCTCCACTTGTCAAGTTTTCTAAGATTTTTGAAGGACAAACTTCCCGCCATGTTGAGATAAGCCAAGTTTGGGACTAACACCTCTTTGGAAGTCACTGTGAGCGCAAAAATACTATTTTATTCCTGTTAAACTGAGATACATTTGGCATTAGAACAAATGATGTGTTTACTTGGCTGCTACTATTAACAAAGTGCATTTAAAACTGATTCTTTGCTAAGTTTTCTGCTATGTGTAGACACAACACTGGGTCACCCCCTGAGTTAAGTGAATTTTTTATCCTTGAGTAGATCATTATTGAGTACCCCAAAAAACAGAAAAACACGTTCCCCTGATTGGATACAAGACCTGGACTGAAAATAAAGGAAATGTTTGTATTTTAACTTCCTTTTAAAATGGAACTTCCTGCTCGGGAGGTGAAAGGTTACGTGACGCTACAGTATCTGATTTGGGCCTTTGGCCCGCCTTTCTCCCCGCCAAGAGGTATGGGGCGGGTGTGACGTGAGCGCGCATACTCGTACTGGGCGGGCCAAATGTTGCCGGGGTGTGCAGGTCACCGACACAACTGGGCAAACTTTTCACAACTGTAGTAACGTTGACCAAGAGGCCACTGCTTACTGGCAGAGGAAGAGAGAAAGCTGAGGCGCGCAAACTTTGTAGTAATTTTGTATGATTTTTGACGTTTCTATCGCCTCTGTGCACGCGGAGAAGCGCAGTCCCATAATAAAGTCCTTATTGGCGCTCGGACCAGACTGCCTGGACTCCATAACACACTACTGCGAAGATGTCCAGTTTTCTTTGAGAGAGACGCATTTCGTGGATTTAGGTGAGTCTGTTTATGTACTTCTCTAAGATTTGGGAGCTTTATTAAAGCACACACCAGATCTACACGGCTGGAAAGTAAATGTTGGTGGATTTTTTTCCACTGGCACTGTACGTAGATGTGTTGATTTGCTAACCACTTATAGCCTAAACTTTGGTCCTTATTGTTTCTTGAAAGCCAGTTGGGCTTGGTTGATATGTTTCTTGTTTATCCGGTTTTACTGTTTCTTATCGGACGGTGGGCACTCGTAGCTGGCGTACGTGACGCCCACCCTTAACCGTAGGACGTTTTTCCACCAGAAAGCAGACTCGGCATAAAAATAAAGTAGCGTTCCTCATGGTGGAACTTAGTAATTATTAACTATTTGCCAAAAACGTATTAAAAGTTTAAAGCGAGCCGTCACTGTTGCTATAGGCACGTTCCGCGCCAAGGATTTCAAAAAACTGTTTACCTGCGCGGGACACTCTTCACTTCCTCTTCGCTGCCTCGCGCCGCGTTCTAATTGGCTGCTTCAGATAAAAAGGGCGGTACCGCTCTGGCCGTTGGGGCTGCGATTCGGTGGAATGTACGTCAGTTACCGCCAATATTAATCATGTTTTGATGAGTTTTAAAAGATTTCTTTGACAAAAATTACCAGGAAGGAAAGTCAGGGTGTTTGTTAAACTGACACCGTGAACATTATTAAACTCATAATTGTTTGCACTGCCGGTTCCCGGCAAATATATTTACCCACAAAAGAGGTAAGGTTTTCTCTAAAAATGTATATATACATAAGTAAGATTTATAAATATAATAACGAAGAAGTCTGGTCTGCAGGTTTATTTTTTTATGGCCATTTAAGTGAATTGCCTTTGTATATGATTTTTTCTTAAAGTATTTGATTGTTTTGAACTATACCGTTAACATACGTAACGTAATACCTAGATAACTATAGCTCATATGATCCTTATTGAACTGTTATGCTAACTTGGAAACTGACCCAGAAGTCTCATTCAAAGCTCAATAAGTACAGCGTAATATGACCACGTTTAGATAAAATTTATTCGTATTTTTTTTTATTCTTGCATTTCAGTATTAACCAGAGAAGAAATATGAGTCTTGCATCTTAATATGTCTTCTCCTTTTCTCACCAGGATGGTGGTTTTGTTGCACCCCAGGTATTGGTAAAAACAACAAAAACGCCAAAGACATTAACTGGTTCGTGTGGTGTCTTAGTGGACAACCAGATCACCATGGGTCCCCTCGCAACACCTAAAAAAGGGAGGGAAGTTGGTTCAGTTGATCCCTGGACACCGACCTCCAACCTCAAAATGCTCATCAGCGCTGCTAGTCCTGAGATCAGAAACCGAGAAAAGGAGCTCTGTATGGACAACGATGGGCGGGATAGTCTTGAATCTACACAGGTACAAATAAAATACTAGAGCTGATGTCACAGGCATCTTCTAGTATGTTGAGATGGTAAAATAGCTGTTCTTGTCTGTTGTCTTTTTTACAGGAGCCTGAAAATGGAGAAGAGTCAGAGAAAATGATTAGCAGAAAAGAGAAGAGTCTGGGGCTTCTGTGTCACAAATTCCTTGCACGTTATCCAGATTACCCAAACCCAGCCCTCAACAACGACATCTGCCTGGATGATGTGGCCACTGAGCTCAGTATGTCTATTAAGCTCATAGATTGCACCTAATGATTGCTTAACTTATTTTGTTTAGCAATAGCTCTTATGATACATCATATCTGAGTTGACTTGTTCTGCTTTAGGCAAAAAAACACACACAAAAACACCATGATCGTAACTGAAGCTGGTTTGTTTCATTTTCTCCTCCAATGAGTTACTTTTACCTAATGAGTTAAGAAATTTTATTTTTTCTCCTACGCTCACAGATGTGGAGCGCCGACGCATTTATGACATCATGAACGTGCTGGAGAGTCTTCACATGGTGAGCCGCTCTGCAAAGAACCGCTACACCTGGCATGGCCGAACCAAACTGGCTGAGACTCTGGCCATTCTGAAGCAGGTGGGCGAGGAACACCGGTACAGCCAGCAGATGCAGCAGATCCGCCAGCGCCTTGTGGAAAAGGAGTTTGACTTTGACGGGGAGGAGAAGGAGAACGAGGTGGCGGTGGTGGACTTGGAGAACGGAGAACACGGACAGAAAGAGCTCTTCTTTGTGGAGCTGCCAGGAGTGGAGTTCAAAGCAGGTGGAGAAGATTTTGTTTTTATATAAACAATGAAATTGTCATTTTGCGAGATGATACACAAATACTTTACAAAATGAAACAGTTAGGTTCAAACACAAACCTTTGTGTTTATTGTCCTATGTCTTGTCCAGCCTCTGTCAACAGTAGGAAAGACAAATCTCTGCGTGTGATGAGCCAAAAGTTTGTCATGCTCTTTCTGGTGTCTAATCCTCGTGTGGTCAGTCTGGACGTGGCTGCAAAGATCCTGATTGGAGAGGACCAGGCAGCAGATCAAGACAAGAACAAGTTCAAGAGTAAGTACAGAGCCTCATCCAAATAAGGTGTAGTGTAAGGATGTCAAACTCATTTTACATTGTGGGCCAGACCGGTGAAACTTGTTTTTCTGATGGTGTGAAAATGTTTATTGACACACATTTCTGAGATGTTTTGAGATGTCCTGTAATTATATAACAAAAACAAAAATAATTGGCAAAATTTCTTTTTGTTTGTTTGTTTTGTTTAATGTGAACCCAATTTCTACAGTAGATGGTGAAAACAATAATAACTTTCTGTCATTTAACGGTCTATTATTACTTATTTACTTGGTGTAGTATGAATTCTGATGGGGAATTCTTTTGTCAGTAGAGAGAGATAAGAGAGAATGAAAAGCTGTAAAATGTATGACTTAAAAGTCTAAAATTTAAAAGTCGAAAGTTTTACAAACATCTCCAGTTGGGCAAGATTGGAGTCTTAGGCGGGTCCTTATGTTTGACACCCCGGGTATAAGGTTAATCAAGACTGCGTCATGGCATACATGTGAACAATGCATGAACTCTATGACATTTATGATTGAGGTGGGGGTGAAGGCATCTTATGAAGCTTTAAATGTTGATTATGTGCATTTCCTGTTTTGTGTCCTTACTAGTCGATATTAACGCTGTTTGGTTGTGTGTTTGCAGCCAAAGTGCGGCGGCTGTACGACATAGCTAATGTGCTACGAAGCCTGAAGCTCATTGAGAAAGTTCACGTGGCAGAAGAAAGGGGGAGGAAACCGGCGTTCGAATGGGTCGGCCCTGACGATTTCCCACAAGTCAAAGGTATCACCAGAACTCCCTGAAAATTTGGCCCTCAGTTATAAGGTGTAGTTGTAGCGTTCGTGTTTTCTTAGCACTTAACTCTTCCTCTAGACTCGGAGAACACCTCAACCGCATGCCCACCCAGGAAGAAAGGCGTACTTGAACCACGTGCGTCCGCCGACAACTGTGCCAAAAATCTTTTCTCATCACCGGGGACCAAACGCAGCTTCACTCGCCACCCGTCCCTCATAAAGCTCGCCAAGAGCATTCAGGATGATCGACGCAAGATCAACTCGGCCCCCAGCAGTCCTGTCAAGAGTAAGCACAAAAGACATTTCTTCATTTAAAAAAAAAAAAGTTCCTTCTCCAGCAAATTATTATGAATGATGCAATGAAGCTTCTTAATTTTCTTTTTTTTCTTTTTTTTTAAATTTACTCTTCTGTCTTCAGGTGATTCCTCAGTGAACAGTGACTTCCCAAACAAAATGGCCCAGCTTGCTGCTATTTGTAAGATTGAACTCGACCAGGAGTCAGCGTAAGTTTAGTTCCATTTAGTCTGTCGCTCATCCTAAGCTAAATCTTCAGTAATAACTGAAGAGATTGCTTGCACCTGCACAAACTTACCTCATTATATTAAACATTTTGTTGTGTTTCAATGTGAGCATCCACTTTTAAAAAGAGCATAAGAGGTATTCTTTAAATGATTGTCCTGCTTGTGTTGCAGGACTGGAGATGAAGGCCTAAAGCCTGCTGCTGCAGAGGCAAACACAGGATACGTGTTACAGCTTCCCACTCCTACTTCAGTGGAACCATCTCATATACCGTTACAACCTCCAACTCAGGAGCAAGCAGTCAATACTACTGCCAACCCGATCCCACACGCCCTGCTGGCAGCACAGCCATCAGGGTCTGTTGCCTACATCCCCGCGCAGTGTTCGCCCCTGATCCCTGTACTGTTACCTCAGCAGCGAGGGAGCGGGCCCTACGCCGTGTATTTGAACCCTTCTTCGCTCAGGTCAAACCCTCTGGCCAGGCCGCAGCCAACTAGCCTGGCAGTGCGCTCTATGACTTTTGAAGATAAGACTGGGCAGAGCCCAAATGGCCAGTCGGCAGCTAAGAGCCACACGGCAGCTGATGCAAGTCCTTTGGGGGTCAAAAGGCTGCGTTCAGAGTTGGCATCCGAGGGCAGCCCCTCTAAAGCTAAGAGGTCTGACCCCACCTTCAAGGTGAGAAAACTTAAATGCGCCATTTATGTAATAATCTGGTAATAACCAACACAGAACTATGTAACTGTATCACCTCGCACTGTTCATTTCTCAGCGCCTGTCTTTGTTCACCTCCTAGGACACCTCTCCAAAGCTCTGTGAGATCCTGCAGGCCCGCCTAAAGGCCCGTCGTGTCGGTCAGCTCACCAGTCGGCCCTCGCCTCGCGCCCTCCACCTGGACCCAGAGTTTGTCAACACCCCCGGCGGGGCTGTAGCCAATCAGACATTAGAGCAGAGTTTGGAACTCCTACTGGACAGAGAAGAGAAGGTGGCAAATTCTGACAGCGAGGCGGGATTAACACCGGTCAGGGCTATTCCCCTCACACCCGGACAGCTTCATGCTGAGGTAGAAGTGCTAAAAGAACTTCAAGGATCAGAGGATGATCTGTTAGTAGGTGTTCATTCGTTGATTTTCTTTTGTTCTACTCTATCTATCCAGACTTTAATCCCAGCTGGATACTTGATCCCAATCTCCCAGCAGTCCCTCATCAGCTACAAGGAAGTTCAAAGTTCAGGAGCAGAAAGCAACAAGATCTCACCTCCCAACATCTACCAAACACCAACTGCAGGTAAATATTTTATCAAATGTGCAGCTCGAGCTCTGACTGTACATAGATTTCATACTTAAACTGTCAAGAAAATGTTAGGTCTCCAGTTATCATTGTGTGCAGCACAGTAAGGATTGCATAAACAACATCCAAACAACAGAATTGACTTCTTTTACTCTGTCTACAGGCTCCAGACCTGCCCCAGCCCAGGAGATTACGCCCACCAACCTTCGGCTTCAAAGACCCGCTAACGCAGCCTCTCCACAGGCCACCCAGCAAGCCCACCGCCTCAACAGTCCCAGTCCTGCCATCTTAAACTTCACCCTGCAGAACCTCGGTCTGATCTCCAGCTCCAGCCCAGGAAGTGCATTTGCTACACCTCAGACTCCAGAGCGTGCCAACACCCTGACCAGTCCATTGATGAGCCCCCTGACTCTGCAGCAGAGGGCCATGGTTTTCATCAAACCTCTGTCCCCTGTGCACATTCAGCAGACTGTATCCCCACATCAAGTGGCCCTGATCGGTGTACAGCAGGTATAAACAAACAGTGTGGGCCAGACTTGATCTGTTCTGCTTTCAGACTTCATGGCACACATGGATTTACATGCATGTCATCAGTTTTCTTGGCGGTGTTTTTGAGTTAGTTTCAGTTGTCTCACTGATTTAACAGTTTGAGAGAGGTGCTTCTGATTGTCTGATTAGACCTGAAACAAGTGTTTTATTATTGAGGTGATTGGATTTAGTGTTCATATAAGATCAATGAAATGAATATACTAATTTGGTTGAGAAATATTAGTCTAACTAATTATTGTCTGTTTTCTAGCCCCTGATGGCCACCCCTAAAGGGAGCGGGGTCCCTCAGCACAGCTTCTTTCACACACCGGTCTCCCTTTCGCCTCTGGCTGCTGTAGTAAACACTGCCGGACAATCATCCACCAAAACTGTACACATCCCTCAAAGAAAGCTGGACGTTACCACTGATGAGTCCTGAGGGCCCTGAAGGATCTTGGAGTACATATTTGTGTGTGTGGGTGTTGTTTATGTTGTGGGTGGATGGGTGCTTTTTTTCTCCCCCTTTTTAACCTGTTTAGCATTTACACAGTATTCATTACCTCTGAAAACACTTCACAGCAGCTTCACTGCCTTCATTCTTATGACAGCCAGCTCTAAAAAAAAAAAAAAAAAAGCTGCTGTACAGAGTTTGGCTGTGCCTCAGTGGGCGTATTGAAATTAGATTTTAAAAGCAGGTTTATCCCGATATTCATCAACACTACCGTCGTGCTCATTGTGATGCTTATGTGGTCTGTTTCGCAGGAATAGAATGGCATGGGGAGAATTGCAAGAATAAGATTTTTTTTTTAATTTTTACATTTTTTTTGCTTTGTTTTTCCATTTCTGCTAATATGGATATTTTTATTCCTTTTTTCAGTTTGCCAGTACTAGTAAAATGACATCAGCACTCGAGTAAAATCTAGCGAGATCACTTTTGCACATACGGCATGTACATGTTAACTGTTACCCCTTGAATGAAATTGCTGAGAACCTGTGAATATTTGTAAGACATCTTAAGACAAATGAGAAATTGTGAGATTAATTTATAAGAAAATTACACTTGTGTCTGATGTCCTGCTAAATTTAAAAATGCTTAATAAATTTTAAATATGTATTTTGTAAGAAAGAAAAGAAAAAAAAAAATGCATCCTTTGTCATTGTTGTCGCGCGTGAGAGATCCTTGCAGGTATTGTATTGCACTGCAGTCTCCTGTGTAATTTTTTTTACAGGCTATGAAGTGCAAGAAAATAGTTATTTTTTTTTTTTTTTTTTTTTAAGGCCCTTTATATATCTGCTGAGCGCAACTTAACACATGTTAATAGATATTTGCTGACAATTTGATCGTTTTAATCATCTGATTTTCTCTGTGCTTCCAGTATTAATCTTAATGGCTTTTTAAAAAAATAATAATAATTTTATCTTGTGTCACTAGCACAGGCTGTGTTTCCAAACACTCTTTATAACTAAAATACATGAGTATTAGACTGTCAGTACCAGTTTAACATCAATTTATACTAATTTGGAAAAATAAAATTAAAAAAAGATGTAGCTTTAGTATTCTGGTCATTCAATTCACTTTAAATATATAATTTTATTGTATAGTCTAATATCTCATAGACCTAAGGCCTTCACAGACATAAAATATTAAGAATCACAGCATAATTATGGCCTTTTTCTTTTTTGAAAGTCCAGCAAAAGGTCTGTTGGAAATCAATGCATGGATGAGTTTTTGAGATTCATTGTCAGTCAGGAGGGGCTGTATTTTAGTGATATTGGCAGGCTTTCTTAGTGTTAAAGCTCAAATCCATCTCAGATTTTAATTAAAAATGTCTCTAACTTATGAACAGATCGCATTTACATTCCCTCTCTAAATCCCTTCATCCCCAATCGTTTGTGACAGATGGCTGCCCCTCCCTGAGCCTGGTTCTGCTGGAGGTCAAAAGTTTTTCCTTCCCACTGGTGCCAGTGGCACAGGTGGGTCTAAAACTATTTTTAAAACTGGGAAACAGGACTAGCACATTATTCCTGGATCTTGATCATCTGCTTTCATAGTTTGAAGGATCCACTGCAGAGTTGTTCTGACCTTTATCCTAAGATGAAACCTTTATATTGTAATAGGAACGGTCTGTCCTGGGATTATGAGGCCCCCACCCATAAGACACAAGGGGCTCACAGAAGAGTTTAAGTATTAAAATGATTTCAAAGTAATAGTTAGCAGATTTTGGATAGATACGTTAGCTGGCTCTGTATTACTATCGTCACAAAAACCAGTGAGTGTTCAGTCCCTCCCATAGGCTTCCAGTACATGGTCTTGATTGCTCAATCTTGAAGCTCTACTGTTTACTCTGCACTTTGTTTTCTTTAATTTGTCACCAGAGCTTCTGAAGTTAAATTTTATTAAACAGAATGCATTAACATAAAAATGTTAAATTAATTTAGCTACTTTACGTGGATCTGTTGTGGACATTTTATTCATATTGATTTTGTTTACTGGCTATTCTATTCTGTTCAATTTCATATGTCTATTTGCTACTTGTTCATGAGATATTTTTAGGCTCTTATCTCTTGATGGCCTAGCAGCTGACTGGAGACAGTCCTGAAAGCCTTCTCTCTTGAGCTTAAGTATGAAGTATCACTTCAGTAGAATAAGTAAAGAGATCTGACGTGATTCAAACGTCTGTGACAAGCTGTGTTTACTTTCCCTTGTAGGAAGCTTAGGACCAATCTTTAACATTTGTTCTGCAATTCATTTCAATCCAGTTATATTTATATAGCACCAGTTCACAATAACAGTCACCTCATGGCAATTTATATTGTATGGTGAAGATCCTAAATATTAGAATGAAACTTCCAACAATTGCATGACACCCCACGATCCTACAACTAGATGTGAAGATCACCAGGTCACTACCGCAGCTCAGCCATGTGTTCACCATCAGTGGTGCAACCAATAGTTATATTTAAATACACTGTTCATGCATATAATCCTGTAATGCTTCTCTGCTGGTAGTCAGACTTTCCCGCACTCTGTCTGAGGGCAGAGCAAATGTCTGAGTGGCTGATGTTCAGGCCTCTTTCAGCTTGTGATGAAGGGTCAGAGGGCCCTGCTTAGTCACAAGTTATTTTAGGAGGATACTTTCATTGAAGTGTCCCCAGTGGACCGTGGTGATGGTGAGACAGTATTTAAACAGCCCAGAAGCGCTCATCACCAGTCAGCCACAGAAGCAAGCTTGGAGTCAAGGTAAGGACCTGTTGCCTTTTGTATTAAAGCTCCCTTTCAGGGTTTGAGTAGTTACTCCAAGCTAAGTAAAGTACTCGATGATACTTTTACTTACTACTTTAATTTTTCTTGCTAGAACTCCATTTACATTTATTATACACAACCATGAATGGCTGGCGGCACTTTCACGTGAAATTTAGGATCTGTCTCAGTAATATTCAGATGTTTTCAGTGTCATTTGAAGGAGAGACAGCTCAGCTTTTGTCTGTCCAATATGACAGTTAAGCCCCTGTTCCTGGAATATCACATACCAATGCTGTGAGGTGATGGGCAGCCTTTGATATTAGTGCAAACTGGGATGTCAGACAGAAGGCCGGCGAGGGCAGAGCTGCCATTCCTGAGTAAATGTTAGGATGGATGTTAGAGTTAAAAACTGACACATCGCAGTGAGATTTGAAATCTTCGTAACCCTGACGACGTGTATTCACGTACATGCAGGAATGTACACATAGAGATTTCACACACACAACCACCAGAAAACATGGAGATTTTATTTGTTTGTTTAGGTGAGGAGATGATTTTTAACCTTTTTTAAATTCAGTATAGTATCCTCTTTCAAATTTTATAAACGTAAAAATGTAGATAAGGTAGATCCTTTAAAACAGAGGTTCCCAAAGTGTTGGGCCCGCCCCCTAGGGGGGGAGCAAAGCCCAGAGCCATTGCCGAGGAGGGGGGCGGTGGCGGGATAAAAAGAAGAAAGCTTGGACCATGCAAGCATTACGGACAGCTTTTTGACGGGGCTCCCACACAAACGCAAAGCAGGAGATGAAGCATCGTCAAATATGTTTCCAAACCAACTTCATTCTAAAACAAAAACTAAAAAAATGATGAAGCATATCTTCCCTTTGGCTTCACCTGCACAAGTGCCAGGGTAGGTCTCCCCTGCAGAATTGGTTTTCCCTGTCGGGAGCACACGCTGGGCTCTCCAAATCACCATTGACTGTAGAAAAGATGGACGACGCGACCCCGCCTCCTACCATTGTGCAAAAATGAAGCCAAAATATCCCGCTTGTGGAGGCTGCCATCTTGCAAATTTGGAGCCAGAGTCTGC